TATTTAGAGACAAACAAACACTTCTTTTCAAGACTATTCAAGACTCAGAAGGTTTTATTTTTCGAACTCTGTGAGTTGCTTTTATTCAAGGAGAATTTTCGTCTAATATATACTTTCTTTACATATGTAATAAAATAATAATAATAATAATAATGCTATCGATACTAACTACGTATACTAATTATCACTACGTACCATTGCTATTTTACCAAGAATTCGGGCAACTATAACGATTTACATAATAATATCTATTTTGAGAATTTTGTCGATCCTTATAATACCAATTATTCCAGGAATTCTTGAGATTTTCAGAATTTTCAGAATTTTCAGAATTCGTACTACGTCTAGAGCCGCAGTATTACCCGAGGTGGTGTTAGAGTTTTAGTTTATATAAAGGCTATATGAGGCTCAAGTAGTGTTGTTAGGCAAAACTTAGAGGTTTTGCCAAAAAAAAATTTAAAAAAGTGAAATAGTGAAACTAGTGATGAAATTAGAAAATTTTTTCTATATATTAAAAGCTCAAATTATTACAAATTATTAGATTATACGTTACATATTATTTTTTATCGAACTTTAATAAATTAATTAGTACTCTCCTAACTTTATTGAGTACTGAATTTGCTATTAACCTATTACAATAATAAAAATGAACTAATAATAACGTGTAGCTCTAAACCTTGAGAATATTAAAAAAAATAAATAGCAATTAAAGTACTATACAGATACATAGTATTTATTATAAATTTACATGGCTATTTCTAGATGTTAAAATACCATGATCTAAATTAGTTTAGGAGCGGGAGTTGTGGTGCAAGGTGCGGAGGTTGTAGTGGTGCAATGTTCCTCCTTGTGATCCTCATATTTTTTATATACTATCTTTTTTGATCCTACTTTCACCACTTTAGATTCCTTTTTTAACTCATAGGAAGTGTCCTTATAAGATTTCTTTTTGTAATATTTTTCGGTCTCGTAATAAGGAACAGTTTTTACTTCGACCTTTGGGACACAAACCGTAGATTTTTCTACTTTGAATTTCTCTACGGTCTTATAATAAGGAACTTTCTTATATTTTACCTTTTCATGTTCAACGGTTTCAGTAAAATATTTCTTTTTATATTCGGGCTTCCATTTTATTTCTTCCTTATAATGATTCTTGTGATGATGATGATGTTCGACCTCACTTTCTACTTTTCCATGTTTGTGGTGATGAGGATGATGTTCGACCTCACTTTCTACTTTTCCATGTTTGTGGTGATGATGTTTGTGGTGATGAGGATGATGTTCGACCTCACTTTCTACTTTTCCATGTTTGTGGTGATGATGTTTGTGGTGAT